CGACGAAAGATAGAATCGATCACGAAGAGATTCTACACCAATCTCTTTTGCTCGTCCACCCTGTCAAACACCGTTATTCCCACTGGAGAAACACCACCACGGTACCTGTTGAAGTACGCGTCGCAATCCACATCATGAAGGCAGCCACGCTCCGGGATCAGGCCATGTTTCAGCCGACCTTTCACAAGCTGGAGGACATCGCTTACACGAGATACTTTCGGAACATCCAACTCCTACCTTCAAAAGGAAAGGATCCCCAACCAGTGGAGAATCTCCCGAACAATCCTTCTTCATAAGAAGGGTGATAGGGACGATTTTTTGTATGCATGCTGAGCATTTTACAAGCTCTCTACCAAGATTATTCTCGCTCGCAAAGGATACTGGATGAAGTTCACCCTTTAGAACAAGCTGGAATTCGCCAGAGATTCAGCTGCTTGAATCACATCCAGACAACTTCAAGAATCATCGAAATTTGCCTAGAGTACCGCCTACCTCTCGTTCTAACCTTCTTTGACTATGAGAAAGCGTTTGACAGCGTCGAGACTAATGCCGTACTATTACTCGTCGACTAAATGGTGGGCCAATTTTACATGATGCCGACCGCTACTGTTCTGCAACGGTACAGTTTTCCATCGTCCCCTTAACACACCAATCTTGAAAGAGGTTCGACAAGGCGACACCGTGTCGCCAAAGGTGTTTACCGCCGCGTTGCAGTGGATTGGAACGAGAGAGGTATAAGAGTCGATGGAAGATTCCTCTTGAACCTTTGTTTTGCGGACGACATTGTTCTCTTCTCGAGAAAATCACTGAAGTGGAGACGATGTTGAAGGAACTAAACGATGTAGAGAAGCAGATAGGACTGCGAATTAACTGGAAGAGGACTCAGTTTGCTGAAGAACGCTTTTTGCGAGGATCAGGAAATGGAATTAGAAGGCTCTCCAATCGTGATGTCTTCTTACGTGTATCTCGGACGTTCGAAAACATGGAAAACGATCTGAAAGAAGAACTAAACAGGAGGCGAAGAGCAGCTTGGGACGCCTTCGGCCCTAAAGAAAGCCACAGGCCAACTGACGGACCCAGAGCTCTGAACCCAGCTGTTCGATTCAAGCGTTCTCCCTGCGCTCTGTTACCCAGCAGAGACATGGCCTGACACTGTGGCTACGTTGTAGGCACTTCGAACAGTCCATAGAGCGCTGGTACGACGTCTTCTAAAGTATAACCAATGCACTCAACATTTCGTCGAACTGAGCAGTTCAAATATGAGATAGGTAAATGTCTCGTCTTCGCTTCCAGCGGAATACATCTCTAAAGCAACGCATCGATGGGCTTGTCATATAATGAGAAGGATAGACGACAGATGGACACTAAGAACTCTGTAATGGATTCCGCGCGAAGCAAAACATCCTCGAGAGAGGTCACCGACCAGAGGATCTGACGTGTTCGTTACACGGATGGACCAGCTGAATTCTTAGCTGGTAAAGAGTAATGGATCTGCACCTCTCGATCGCCGCCGCAGTTCAATACCAACATCGCGGATAACGCTAATGAGAGACAAAAACGGATGAAAACACTGCTGTGGCCTGCACGACGGTGAAGACAGGCCGTCCATGTATCTAAGTAAGTAAGTAATATTTTCAAGCAACCCAATCACCGCCAATGTAAAGCCACACAAATTCCTAGTAAGTGAGCATACAGCCCTGAAAAAAATTCGAAAGATCTGTCTGTTAGCCACACATAAGATGACAAAATTTTATTAAGAGTAGAGTAACAGTCACGCAGTAAAGTAACAGCTGCTTAAGCTTCCGCGTCATGTGCTTGTGATGAAAGTCACAGTTCCTGGACTAGCAAGAGTGCAACTATGCTACTTTAGAAGATGCAACTTTACCATCAAATGCACGGCTCTCGATTTTCGCTAACAGTGCCTAACACTTCCATATATGTTTTGAAATAACCCATCGTACGCAATCGTTTAGGAGCCACTTTTTTGGCCTTTGCTCCTCAATTCCATATTCAGTGGTGATGGAGGACTTCTCTTTCTGGGTTTCCCCCTCTGACTGCCGTTCTAGTAGTTGTGGCTATAATAATGCATTTCTCTACTCTCGATAAAGGCAGTGGTGCGGGGATCAGCACGAGAGATCAATTACAGCAAATTAGCGTTTATTTCATGGTCTGAAACTTGTAGTAAATTCAACTGATTTCTCAACTCATGGTAAAGCGTTGCACGAGGTCTTTTGCTTTCTCTCGAAATGTTTTTCTAGCAACTTAGGGAGGATCTGCTTCAATAAATGTTATAAAATTAATATGGAAAAAGAGACTGACCTTTTCATTTTATGCACGAGGCTAGGATATATACACAGGAAACTCTTACGCTACACCTTCTATACCAATCAAGCGGCGTAACCGCAGGCTTCGCACTGATCTTTTCGACAATGTTTACCGTCCTTAAAAGTACTGGAACGAGCTCTAAAATGCTACGATTGTTGATTTCTTTTACCTGTGGACA